TACGTCACCATTGTTCTGAATCCATTAATGGTTCGCACTTGGTTGCTCGGGGGGGGGTGTCACCTTCGGAAGCTCTTTTCACAGCTGAATTTTCCCGTTTCACGCCCCTCCAGCTCACTCAAGGCCAAAGTTCAGGGGAGTTCTATGGGGAGGTGGATACGCAGGTAGTGACAGGGGTCGACCCTCTTTTTGGAATGGGGGGGGAGGCGTGATACGGGGAAAAGCTAGTACGGAAACACTTTTCCGACCTTCGATCCTGCCCCGACCAAAACACGACCCCTTGCTGGGATTGTGCCAGAGATGGGCGCCTAGAACGAAAAAATAAAGCACTAATAAGAATTACTTCGAGGCCATTACAATGCCCTTCCCGTCGCCAAACTATCACCCCGTCCAGTGTGAAAACACGACGAAAGGGGCCATAATTTGTCGCTGGGGATGAGAGGGGGCTGCCCCTGGTTGGAGTGCCGTCCATAACTGGAGGTTCTGCACACAATTCAGAATCCTTGTGATAACATTTGCATAGCGAATTGCAGTGAAAAACAGCAGCTGACAAAATAAAACCGAATTAATTGGATAATTTCCCATTACTCTCCATCACTTGACTATTCATTACTTCTACAGCGATAAAGGCTCCGGAAAGAGCTACCGTAATTAACCCGAACAAACAAACGCTTTCATCAAGTTCGAGTCGGTTTGGGTAAGGATAAACAGGTTGGTAGCTGCCGATTTCTCTAAGAATAGACACAACTGAGCAGATGCCGGCGCTTTTTCGCTTGAAGGGGCATTTTGCACTTTCGCTGGTCCTTTTTGTTAGTTCCTGTTAACTTACACGTCTTATCCTGGTGAAACCTGTAGACTCTTGTCTAGTGTGAACAAAGCTCCTGCTATAGCATTGCTTTGCAGGGACTTACAGATCTCCACAGAAGGCTTCGACAGCGATCGGTGGCGGACCAGGAAGCTGCCCCCACCAAGCCGCACCGCGCTGAAATGACTACCAGATGAGCCAGGTAGCGTTAAAATAGAGGCCCCATATATACTCAATTCAGCCCTCATAATTTTGAATGAGAAAGGATTACAAGGCGTAATCTCCAGCGGGCCGGCTATTAGGACTTTCGCTCTCTCCTTTCATTGTGGCTGGGTGGTCGTACCGTACAGTAGAGTACGGAAAGGACAAATGTTGCGGCGTTGATTAAACATTTTCCTGACGCACCATGCATCCTAAGATGTGGCGGCTCTCGAATCAATCATTCCAGAGCCCCTTCCTTGGAAAAATCCCATCTCCAGGTACACTAGAAGTCCGATTTTCGATGCCCCAGCAGCCGCTGTCATCGATCTGTGCAGGGTTCGCAATAGGACCATGGAAAAAAGTTCAAGTAGTCACATAACCTGACAGAACTGTCCCTCAACTGTCTGCACCCTCTTATTTCGCGCCAGGACCTCGGCGAGAGGCTCAAGCTGTCACTAACCGCGCATCAGGGCACGTCGTACGTTGAGGATTCTCAGCGAGAGAGAGGGGTCGTATTTTTGTCGCTGGGGAAGAGGATCGCATGGAAAAAATTGTTCTCGGTTGAAAAAGTGTTCCGACTGCTGAGATTCCTAGGATTTCCTTTTTTCCAAGCACTCCTCTACTGCTCTTTGCCAAAAAAGAGGGATTTTCCGAAAAAAAACAGGGGAAAATTAGGTTGTGAAAAATGGGATGGGGAGGGCAAGAAGTACCAGAGGAGAAACTTTCGAGGAGAAGGATCGTATCGCAAACTTTTTCCCCACATGCCCTGCTTGCATGTAAAGGGCCAGATCCCGGCGACAGATTGGAAGCCGTGGTAGTTCTTCTTCGATGTTTCTTTGACCCCTCCTTTGAAAGCCATCGGAATTTCAACGAAATAATTGATCGCTAGCCTGTGAATTGCCCCTGGTATTTGTCGAGGGCCCTTGATGAACCCTTGACTGCTATAGAGCATGTATTTTGGCAGGGATTCGCACTTATAGGGCCGAGGGCTGTTCAAATAATGCCCTTCAAAGCCCTCGAACAGCCCTCACACACTCTCGGAATACAGTACTAATTAGATGCGATTTTTTCGCCTCGTCAACGGCATTGCTGTTATTGGGAAGTGCATGGCTATTCTATTCGTGCCAATAGTTATTAGTATGAGCCATAAGTAAACAATAAGTGCATGGAGGGTGCTTGAATAGTATGAAGAGCTTGTTAGTTTTGTGAATAACAGAGAAGGCTCAAACTTTTTAGTCTGCAAGCACCAGGAAGCCTCTGCAAGTTCATACTAAGAATCCTTCAGCTCATGGCGAACTTTGGTCTCGCGATGGGTGCGAAAAGCATCGCAAATGTGGCGCCCGAGCTGAGCAAATGTAGCGCTCGCACCCTGAGCGACGTTCCATTTCAGGCACACTACTAGTATTTCGTGGGGGGGAGGTCATAACAGCCTGCACTCAAGATAGGGAGCATCGGGATTCGGCAACGGTTGTGGGAGACAAAGGAGACATAAAAGGACGTGGTAGAAATTTTTTATGGCTACTTTATCCCGTTTCAGGTGCGCTAAACGTTTTCTGTGGCTGGTGGTGCAAGTGGGGGAAGGTAGGTAGCCGAACGCTAAGAAGGGCCGGCCAACACTCTACTTTCTCTCAACTGTCGAAAGGAGTATAACCATTCTTCTACTAGCGGGTGGGAGCGAGGTAGTATTGAGACCCCCGTTCCTTAGTGGGGGTCGTATCAACACGGAATTCCCCCATTCCCATGATGTCCCTTGTTCTCTGGTTCGTATGGGCCAGCCTAGAGCTCTGGGACAGATGAACTATCAGTGATGGAGGGACAGGCTATAGGTCGAGGGCATGAACTTCTGCAGGGACCTCTACAATCATTTCCAACGCAGGAAATCCCGTTCTGAGCAGAATCTATGAGGACAGGTCTATTATGAGAATCACAAATAGCTAAGCGCTAGAGTACAAATGACCTAAAAATTATAGAACAGAACACCCTGGGGACGATTTTGTAGTTCCTCGTCCGTTTTTGAGCCACTATTCCTGTCAGCGGCAGATCTCGTTCCGGGTAAATGCATTAATGGTGCGTGGGAAGGGCGCTGTGGCACGCGTCGGCTCGGCCCCGGCTGATTTGATGTGCGGACAGGAAAGAAGAGGCCGAGTGGCGCGCGCGGTGCATCTTAGCGCGATATTGATGAATTTTCCATGTAATATCATCAGGAACGCTATTAAAGTGCATGTAGGGGGAAGCACGAATATTTCATTATGAAGGTTTCTTACGGCTAATACAAATATTATTTGATTATTCCTTTTTTCACGAAGCAAACGAGCCCTGAGGGTATTTGGGAAGTTTCTTGGGAGGTAAAAAAAACACGTAATGCAGTCTAATCCTGTTAATATATCCGGTCTCCTGCCCACCACAATCGTCGGCTCAGTTGTGGCAATCAGGGCACGTCCCTGCAATTCACGGAGGAACTTGCAAAATAGGACCCCTTTCGAAGGTTCCTCCTCTGGCACCACCCCCTCCCCCTTTCCCATCCCACTTACCATCCAGGGCACATTACTGTTGAGGCTCCCCAACCCGGGGTCGTATTTGGTCCGAGAAAAATTTTTTTGATAGTTGATTTTTTTTGTTTCAGGGACGCTGTAAAGGGGAGTCGTATTTTCATTCGTTGTTAGGAGAGGGAGGGGGGGGGGGTGGGTCGTATTTGCCTTCTGGTCTTCTGAGATTTCTGAGAGAGGACGTTGACTTTTCATGGGTTTGGGTTTTAGCTGTTTCACTTGTGCTACATACTCCCTTCACCGCTACAGGTCAAAGAGGGAACTACGGGGGGGGGGGTCGTATGAAGCCACTCCTAATGGACTAGACCACAGTCTCAGATAGCACAAATTAAACTGGGAGAACCTGGAAAGCTCAAGAACCAAAGACCTTTTTCTCTGGAAAAAGTTTCGAACCCCTCCCTCCAGCCACCAAATACGACCCCCCCCCTTCGCAGCGGATCACAACGAGGCTACGTGCCTGCGGGAGTTGATACTCGCGTGCAGACGCATGCCCTGCCGCTGGAAGAGTTCTAAGGGAGGCGAGGCAGCTGACAGCAGCGGCCAAAGAAGGCTGCAGAACTGCGCACACCGAGGTCCCCAACATGCAAGTGTCGGAATATTTGTTCCGATTTCCGATTTCTGAGCAGCAATCTTGCCTTGCGAAAAACGAACATCGTGATTCAACACCTCACAGGATTATGATTCAGAACACCTTTCTACAGTAACACTGATAAACGCTGCCCATAATAAGTACCTACCCATCCGCGCGGTACTCTATGGCTACATTGTTCCGATTTCCGATTCCCTAGATGTTGCGAATCTACATGAGAGCCACGAACTTCTCCACATAGAAGCAGAAGCGGTGTTTTCTTGCGAGACTTACCATTACTTCCAGACTTCAACAGGTAGGGTCGAGAAGGGCACGAAAAGTTGTAAATAAGCAACAGTTCAGATCTTCAGCTTCTGGGGATAGGTTCCGTCGGGCTGGGTTTTGGTACCAATCCACTTATCTTTTGAGATCATCGCTCAAAGCTATTGCAAAGCTGTTGAGCACAAGGAGTAGGGGCGGCCTTGATGTCACGGATAGCGCACTCGACCGGAAAGCTCGAGGTGCAGGTCTTGCATTCGGTCCCGATTGGGGCAAAAATTTTGCTGATTGATCCAGTAAACTCATTTCTACTTAAGTGAACGAAATTCTCTGGATGAGCCATGCATTCGCTTTCCACTCAGGTCAATGACTGACTTGAATGCAATGAAAGGTAGCGAACGATCAAATCAAAGAATCAATTTTCACACAGCAGACTGAATTGTCTCAGTCCTAAACTTCATTATTTCAAGGTCTCGTTCTATCCAAGTAATGAAGCTCTCGCCGTTCTCTGCGAATTTCCGCTTCCGTGAGAGAGACACACTCAGAGCTCAGAAAGTGAGCGTTCTGTGAACGTTTCTGCACATCTGCGCTTCGCTGTGGCTAGAACGCTAGCCAGTCTCTTCAAGGGTCGCGTCAGGACAACTCGCAGCCAAGTTTTCAGGGTGTATAGATGGATATTCAGGCCATATAACTGTTCAGAGAAGCCGCATACCCTTTGGAACGTCCCGCACTAACGCGCACAAAGCTAGCATTTCTTAGCTGGTTGACCCGACACTGCGATTCCACATTAAACCAATAGGGTCCTGGTGCGAATGTCGCGCACGCGGCGACACCTAATACTGCATTAGCTCCCGATCCCCCAATCAAAATCAAGATGATGCCAGTTCACGTGCAGGTCCGAGATTTCATCTTCCAAATTGATCGGGTGCTAATGGAATGACCCCGGAGGGAAAAAACCTTTGTTCAGTCAAAGCGGAACCGATTTGGAAATACAGTCTTTTTCGTTGCAGACGCTGGGGCGTGTAGGGAGGGGGGAGGGTTTTCTTTACCGCGACGGAAGCCGATTCTTCAACAATCATAGAAGTGTGCAAGCGACGACAATTGGCGAAAAACGGGCTGGCGCCGCGGCAAACCTAGCCCCCCCCCTAACAAGCTACTTTGCCTCAAGTATTCAAACGGGAGGGGTTGTAGAGGAGCCACTGCTGTTTTCTAGAGATGACGTCATTTGAGGAACCCTGCCAAAGCGCTCGTAAAATTAATTATGCTCGTCCATGCTACTTGACGTACTGAACGCATGAAAAATTCAGCGAATGATGATAATGCCCGGTTGAAGGATTATTAGTAAGTCATGTTGGGTCAAAGACTGGATTTGTCACATGGAAATGCCGCTTTTGTGTGAGGAGCAAGTGCGTCATCATCGTGATCAGGCGGCAAGTTGCATAAAAGCGCCAATTACCTCTTCTAGGAACTTTCTGTGCTAATCAGTTTCTTTTGAAGATGTGTCAGACACTTCATTTCCATCAAGAAGAAGGGCGTTTAGTTTAGGAGGGGCATTTAGTACCTCCCTGGTTCCTTCTACGTCGGCTCACTGCTTAGCTGTGAACCTTCATGATGCTTCAAAGTGGCACACTGGTTACAGATATTCACAAGGTGACTTGTTTAGGCTTCGTTGAGTACTAGTAGGTGCTCCCACCAAGCCGAACCGCGTCTGGGGACCATTGGATGTTCGAGTCAAAGTTTTTGCCTTCTTGACGAGCATTTTATCAACTAACCAACCTCAAAGGCTTGTCTGGCCTGAGTCAGATTCGATCCAGGATG